AAACTCAGGCAAGATACCAAACAGCTTCCTTAATCCTGCAAAAACCAGCTTTCAAGGTTTTTTGCTGTTGGAGCTCATGGTTTCCTGGCCATGCCTAAATGAAAGAACCATTCCTCTGGTTAGCAGTAATCTGACTAGTTGCATCTCTGAAGGACTGTAGATGACATTTCTGTGTCTATGTTGTACTTCCAAAGTACATACCTCTCTGCCCTGATGGAGAGGACAAGGCAGATATTCAGTGCTCATTTTATACAGCTAAGAGTGCCAGTGAGAAATTCAGTTACATTCCCAAATATTGCATTAGAGAAGTAAATGAGCTGGCTGAGGTATGTGACAGACGATGGGGTATGGGTGTGCTCCCCATGCATGTCCAGACAGAGCACAGCCTGCTCCCCACCCTCACCAAGCCAGCACCACGTACAGGATCAGACTGTCCTGCCCTGCTCTCCACCACAACTGGCCTTGTGACTCTTATTTGGGCCAGGTCTCCCCAGTCATACCCCTGGTCCAGGCAGTTGGCCTTTTTGCCACCAGGTTATATTTTAACGCTTAGTGCCTGGTACCACATACAAAAATTTCCACCTTGCACAGGGCCACTCCAAATCCTCTATGATGGAAGCAGAGGGAAGAAGAAATGTGTCAGGCTACCCTGCCCAGAGAGGGGGATCTCCCAGACTACAGCTGACTCATAGGACCAACCAGACTGCAAGGATCTATATTTTCCACAGGCAGCATCTGGGAGTAGCTGTCGCACCAGCCACCTCTCATTTCTGAGTGCTCCCCTTCCCATCTCATCTGTTCACATCCCTTCCTCTCTCCCCCATCCATCCCGCCCTGGTGTACCCTCCTCTTCCCATCACAGCACTAAGCCCCACTCCTCCCTGTAGCTTGAGGAGAAGACCAGAAACTGACCAAGTCTTCAGCTGCATTCAGAACAAAGCAAGTGACAGGTCATGCAGCAAGCACCACGCCAGCACTGGTTGCATCATGCAACTGTGGCATCTCAAGGCCCCTCTATTTAAGTAGGTCCCCCTGGACCACTCTGGGCAGTGTCTCTGCTTCTAGCCACAAGTGGATTTTAAGGAGCAGATTAGCCAGCCCACACACCAGCCAATGCACTGCCATGTGACAGGGACAACCAGTCATTTCCCCACCAACATCCCCCCAAAAGATGCTTCTTGGCATCGTTAAGGAGATATATGTATGCCACTCTAATGGCAGCAGGTTCTCTTCTTTCTTGCACTAGCAATGAAAGGGAACCAAAAAACTATGGTAAATGGCTGAGATGATAGATAATTTTGGATATGTGCTTTAAGTGCAAGCCAAAGCACATTTAGCTTTGTGAAGACTAAGACTAGAGCCAAAGGTCTAGTTATTTTTGGTGCAATCTGTGTTTTGCCAGGACATTAGCATGCCAAGAGATTTTTCTTGTTAACTTCTGTTACTGCTATCCAGAATTACTTCAGCTGAGACAAACTGCCAAAGAGTATGCCTGATGCAAGGCAGCGCTGTATGGAAATACTCTCAGCAGCAGAGGCAGGTACTAGAACTAGTCCCGGGGAGGAGGAGAATTCAAAGCACAGCACAGGGTAGGATAGCATAGCAGTCACTGCAATAGGCTGAATACACACACACACACACACACACGCATGCACACACGCACACACGTATGCGTATGTGTGTATACATATATATACAAACAAATAAATAAAAGAGGCTGAGAAAGAGATGCAGCATCAGAGACTTGCATCCTCCGAACTGCGCCAGAGTCCAGTGAAGAGAGATGAAACACAACAAAACATTCCACTGAATCACTCAGAAGGCTGGAGAGTTGGGAGGGGAAGTCAGCAGCAGGGAAGCTAGAAAGGTAAACACACAGCTAAAGGATGAGTCAAGTCCATGACAACAGTTTGCTCACTATGAGGTTTGTCAGGCTTCACTCAGGCTCCCCGTGCTGCAGCGTTAGTAGGTATCACCCCGGGCCCGCTCAGCCTCTGCCCTGACCAGCCAGTGAGGTGGGTGAGATTGCATCCTGCTTGTGCCAGGAAGAAGGCAGAGATGTCCAGAGCAATGTACACTTTAAATGCCTCCCAACGCTCACTGCTGTTCCCTAGGAAAGCCCAGAAGCCTGGTGGCATATACAATCATGAATGCGTTGGCAGAAAAGGCATGAATTTCCACACTGGCGTGTCTGAGATCCTGAATGCTCAAGCTGCCACCCACTTCAGGGTTTTTCAAAAGAACAGAAAAAGTTACCCAAGAGAGAAACCAGCAACTAATCAATCAGCCTGGAAGCTATATCACTTAAGGAACTGGACTGACAAAAGTAGCAAAAAAAAAAAAAATCAATTGCATTCTCTTTCCTTTCTCACAGTGAAGCTGAATTTTTGTTTCTATTTCTGCCTGCACATTCTGGTCAATAGGCCTCAGCCATGCAGGCATAATTCTTACCAAGTATCTCTTACTGTCAGGTTTCAAAAGAACATTTCGGTCTAGGACTATTACAGTACTAACTGCTGCCTCTTGATTTGCAAACAAACAATCTTCAGTTTTTACCAATCCAGTTGCACAAGAAGAGGACTTGGGCAGTTGCTCAAGGGATTTGAAAGCCAACATGAGCACTCTCTATTTCTTCTATACCTCTGTCTTCTCTTACTCTGCGGTAAGAGCTCTAGTTATTAAACACCTGAAGGCAAGGTGTCAAGAGGATGGGGCGAGACTCTTCTCAATGGGGCCTACTGATAGGACGAGAGGCACCAGGCACAAACTGAAACACAGGAAGCTCCATCTGAACATGAGGAAAAAGTTCTTTGCTGTGAGGGTGACTGAGCACTGCCACAGGTTGCCCAGAGAGGTGGTGGAGTCTCCTTTCCTGGAGATATTCAAAAGCCATCTGGACACAATCCTGGGCAACGTGCTCTAGGCGACCCTGCTTGAGCAGGGGGGTTGGACTAGATGATCTCCAGAGGTCCCTTCCAACCTCAACCATTCTGTGATGCGGTGAACTAGAATGGCGCATTACCTCAAACGAACTGTAAACAAGAGAAATCAGTCACAACTAGAAATGCTTCTCACATGCTGGAGAGCTTCAGTCTATGGCCAAACCCAGAACAGCAGTTAAAGTACACAGATTTTGAGCACTCTCTATCCTAATATAAACAGCCTTTTTGTTTCTACTCAGAGTGAATAAGGTTTAGCAAAACTCAGTTAGAGAAGACAAGCAAGGCAAGTTGATTTCTCTGCTCTACAAAGGAGACCATATTTTGCTTCTGTTGGAAGCCTTTTAGCAAATATGGAGGATATACTACTGGAGGGGGGAAAAAAAAGAAAAAAAAAGTTATACAATGTAAAAGAAGCACGAAAAAGCCACTAATCTGTTGGATATCTCCAAACACTGGACTGAGCAGCCCCAGAGATTGCAAAACCAACAAGGCATTAGGCAATGGTTATTACTGCATTAATCAGCTTACAAATTTTATAGCAACTTGATGGCCTTTCTTGACAATATTTGCATTCCATGGAAAATTACAGTTGGGTTTTGGTAGAACATTTAGCAAATTGTATAACCATGATAACAGCAATCTCTTTTAGGTGACTTGATCCACGCTAAGTTCAACAGGGCTATGGCGAACAGACATGGAGGGGGAGAAAAAATATTAAAAAAAAGGTCCTCTCCACCCTATTATGATTTTTTATCTTTACAGAAAAAAAAGACTGAATAAAATAGTATCATGCTTTTGCCAGCTTTTCATTTTATCTCTTACTTAATTGCACCCAGTGTAGTGCATTGGAACACAAATGATCACCAATAGCTCATTTTGTCACATGAACCATTAGTAAGCTTGAAAAAACCTACATGTTTTGGTGTGGTTTAACCTAGTGAGTGCTCACCATGGAACGGCACATTTTTGTTGTCTTGAACATTGAAAATTAAAATTGAGTAATAACCACGTGGCCCTGCCCTCCAGCCATATAACCTTTGTTCCAGACCATTAGAAGACATGTCTGGGACTCCTGTATTTTCACACACACTGAGCGGTTTTGGAAGAATCCATTCGTAAGCTGAATCTGCTACCTCTTTCTGCAGGATAGGCGAACAGCATTGAAGAGAGATAAAGATGGAACAGAAGACACTGTACCGGATGCCTACCTAGATGCAAAGCTGGAAGAGTGGGCTTTCAGTTCTGATGATTTTTGCTATATGATGTAAGGTACTTAACCACAAAGCCAGTACACGTCTTCAAAGACTAAAGCCAAGCAAAACCCAAAGTATGTAGTAGCGTAGGATTTTAAAGGTTATGTACTGAAAAAAGGTATTCAAATGATTGATGACACCAAAGAATTGCCTCAGCTGATGCTTTAAATTCAGGGTGGGTTACCTAGTGTCTCAGACCTACTCCAAGCACTTGAACAAGGAATTTGCAAATGAAGCTTTATGGATACACCTTAAAAATCTTGAATTCAGTTATGGAGTGATTTTTCTCTTGCTTAGTGTTGGACATAGCATCTGTGAGTCAAAGATTTCAACAGTTGTGTTAACTCAGATGATGCTTGTGCTTTGTGTTTGACATAAGAGGAGCTCTTAGACTAGTATTCTATCAAGAAATGAGCTTTCGGAAAAGCATGAGAAGTCAAGTACATCTTTCTCATGACATTAGTGCAGTCACAGATGTTTTTATGCTTTGGCAGGAATTTTACCCTCAGAAGTCTTCCACTGTTGTGCTTCAGTGCCAGACCCAGAATAACTTGCATGAATTGTTTTACCACAAAGCTAGCGTGAGTAGCATCAGGTAGTCAAAGCTTTCCAAAAGTGAAATGCATCAGGAAATACATGGGATCATCAGTACCACAGGAAGGAGTGAGTGATTCCTCCACAGCATTATTTGAGTGAGAAACTGTGTATTGCTGAAATACTATCATAAAACTGATTCATTAATAAAATGTTTCTTTTCATACCATTAAGTAGAATGTGCTTTTTTTCTTTTTTTTGCGCTATTCTAGCATAATGAAAAATGACTTTCTGAAGTTTCTTCAGTTTCAGGCTTATTACTTAAAAACAACAAACAAAAAACAAACTTGCAGGCTTGCACTGAAGTTTAAGCAATTTATTGTACATGAGTTTTAGATAGCAATATTTTATTTCATCTAACATGACTAAATAGCTAGGTCTTTGTGTAACCTAAGCAGAGGAGGAGTTGAGATGAATGAGAACAGACTGTTTGGAATATTGATTATTTTAGTCAGTTGGCGTGCCTTTTTGGGAACGCTTATATAATGAAAATAAGTTCAACACACTAACAGTGCATTATATATTAATTAGGATATATATTTATACATACACACATACAACCTTAATATGCAAACACTTTTTAAAATAGACAAAGGGAGGTATCAGAAGGATTACAGCTTCCTAAGCAGTAGGAAGGACTACTCAGAAAGCAGTAGTTTAGAGAAGATAATTGAACAGGCTCCTCCTAATATTACTCCATTTCTGGACTGCAGATGTGCAAATGTGCGATTATAAAACAATATTCGGTGAAACCTCAGTGAAGTGATGGTCATGCTAGCAAATGCACTAAGAAAACTAAGTTCTTTATGAATGATCATAGCAGAGTGTACCAGGCACCCACATCCAAGCTGCCAGTCAGCTCAGTAAGATGTGAGCAAGAGCTCTCTCAGGGAGGATTAGAAGCGTTTCCACCAGGGCCAGCTGGAAACACAAGGGCTAAACATTGCTTGTACTCTTTCATCAAAAGCAGAACGCTAGTAAGACAATAGGGCTTGATTGCAGGGCAAGTAAAAGAGCTTTTTTGGCAATGCAGAATCTGGAAAGGCATGCTTGGAAACTGCAAGTGGTAGCCTCTGTGTTCAGATACAAGAACTCGGCATATGCATCAGTTAAATTAATTGTAAAAAGAGATTTCATTTTTTTGAAAATCATTTTCTTAATGGGAAGAGCCAAGCAAGGTTGCAAGTGTATGCTTGATCTAAGGAGGCAACAGCCTCCTTAGAGGCTGTTACCTTTTTTACCAAAACCTTTTTCTGAACATCATCAAGTGGCATCATCTTGCAAAGAAATGCTTCTTAGCAGGGACATATGTTTTATATGACAAGATGTAAATATTCCACATCTAGGAATGACTGCAATACCAGAGCTTTGCACTATCATAGGCAGCTAAGTTTTTTGGGGGGGGGGGGTTAAAAAAAAAAACACACGCGCATAACTCATTTAGTGTTTTTTCTAGCATGCACACCATCCTCCTGCATTGAGGAGGGGAAAAAAAATTTTAAAAAAAGGAAAAAAAAATCAGACAAATGCCATACCACTAAAAGACTGCAGACAGACCTTCACAAGAGAAGTTACTACATTTGCGGTCTACTTCATGTTTTTGTTAAGTCCGCTGCCTCTATGTGTGGCACCTCAGGATTTCTGACCCTCAGCAACACTTTCTTCGCCTGGGTAGTGCAAGGCTTAGTGCGTATCAAAGAAGGGACGAAAGGTGAAATATCGAATGTTCCTGAGCTTTTACTATTGGTAAAGTGGTAGCTATCAAGTCTTGTGTCAGCTGAGCATGCTGCAGCGAGTGGCGAGAGTGGCGTCACTAATTCCTTCTATTCCTCAGTTAGTCAAGAAAGGCCGTCCTAGGTCTGAGTCATGCCTCACACATCCTGCCTTGCTTGAGCAGTTCCTCATTTAACACAGGGACACGTCGGAGTAGCACATTTGACTCTCAGCAATCTCAGGCAGGATATCAAGAGAAATTCCACGTAGGTAAGTAAAAAAAGATCAAGTTTTCTGTCTTGTATCAGAAAGTGCTAGAACTGCAGGAGCTTGGATATGACCTTTTGGCTTAGCTCTTTCACAATTGCTTCAGACACTGTGGGTGTGGAGGGAGGAAAAAAAAGCAAACAAACAAGACAACTTTTTTTTCTTTTTTAAGTGGCAGATCACTAGAGAGGAAAAATACAAACGTGCGAGGTTCCCAATTAAAACATTTCTGCTCTGCAGGTCCACTCCACTCCCTTGAACTGATTGACCGAAGGGGCTGCACTTTCATGCAAAGGGAAAGCAAGTCTAAGGTTTCTGGTTCACCTAACACCCCCAAAAGGCATCTCAGACTAAATTTACTCACTGAGTACACTTGTGCCTTCATTTCTCCTCTTTGTTTTCTACTGTTCTTTAGTCATTAAACCAACATGGAGGCAGAAACATTGATTAAAGTGTGAATTTCAGTTTAATGAAGTTCAGGGAATGCATACTAGGTTGAAAACAAATACTCGCACATACCTCCTCAAAACACAAGCTGAATAAGGGGAAAGACTCAAACAACACACTCAGCACGCCAGTCACACCAAAAATGAAACCCCACTTAACTTTTCAGGTTCTGAGTAGTCACTGTTTACAAACTGACAGCTTACAATAGCACCTAAAAATCTCCATTCAAGGGAGTCCCGTTACACTGAGCAAGACACACACAAATCAGTGCCACATAAAACGTGCAGTCTTAATTTGCAACTAGTGAAGAAATCAAGTGCAAGAGCAAAAGGACAAGAGGGCAAGCAACAATCAGGCTAAGAAGATTTACCCAAGTCATTAGTCACTCTGGTTTCTATCCTAAGTGTTAACTTAGAAAAATCAGGTAACAACAGTTTATAGATACTGAGGCAAAGGCAGATTTCACTAGCAGAACTTCTTGCCCTTGAGTTTTGAAGGAGAGTTGATAGTAATTGAATATATTTCCACCAAAAACAAATCCCAGATATACATAGCAGTCATATGTACATCAGGGCATTTAAAACAAGTTTTCCCATTTAAAATAGTTTATTGAATCAGTTTTGTCCTAAACTGTGAAACAACCCATGAGATTCTTGATAGCGTGTCTCTTCTTGTCTCTTCTTGTACTTCTTTGGGTACAGAAGCAACTGTACCCAAAGTAATACAGGGAGAGAGGAAGGCAGAAGAGAAACACAGTCCAAAGACACAAAACAACTGATGCTACCAAGCCCAAATTCTCACATCTGTACTTGGCTCCTTAAAGACGCTAGAAAATTTTGCCTTTTTTTTTTTTTGGACTAAAACCAAGCCTTGAGTGCACAGTGAAACCATACAACTGTAGATTTCAGTCTTCATGACATCGAAAATATTGCTATTCTTTTGAATTTACCTTTATAATACAAGCACAAGCGATGCAAAGCGATGCAAAGGCAGAGTTCATTGCAGATTTCTTCCTTCTACAGAAACTAAATATTTCTAGAAAGAGAGGTTGGTGGCAGTAGGAATTTTTCATCTCTAAGCTCTCCTCCCATAATGCAGACCAGGCCAGTGAAATATTTGCAAAGATGAATGATATAAGAAAAAAAAAAAAGTCTCCAGTGTGCTAGTTCCAGTTATAAAGAGCCTAAAATAAGATTGCATGAATGTATAATACCTTTCAAGAGACACATCTTTTGGTGTCATCTGTTTTTGACAGTTTCCCTGCAGAGAAGTTGCAGAGAAGCAACTCCAGAAAAATAAGAGAACATTTTACTCAAAGAGAAACCTATGGATTATTAAAAACAAAACAAAACAAAAAAACCACAGTGTAGCCAATTCTTTAGGGAGTTGTTGGCCGTTTTTTTGTTTTGTTTTTAAAACTGAGAATGCAAGCAGTAAGAACTAAGCTGCCCAGATGTTAGTACTCCAGCTGCCCCTGGAAATCTTCTAGTCCCTTTCACTTATCATTGTAAAGGGTGCCTGCATCTTATGGCTATTCCGTTGCCCTGAATTCATCTTAACTAGAATAGTGTGTTTTTATTTGCTCTCCTACTAATTTCCCTTCCCCTGCAATAGATTTCCTCTTTTAACTCTGTTCCCCACCTCATTTGATTTCCAAACCCTCACTTGCTTGAGATGACCAGGAAGCAGAATAAGCTCTTTACTTTCTCCAGTTCACCATGATTGTAATGATGTCTGCTACTTAAGATCTATCAAAAGCCAAGCTCAGATTTTTCACTGAAGTGTTAGGGGAAAAAAAAAAAAACCTCTAAATGTTAGCAGTTTTTTAAAAAAGAAGAATCCCAGGCCCCTTTCGTACTCAAGGATCCTTTGAAAAGGTCTCCATCTCGCACGCACCCCAATTACACACTTTTTCTGAAGTGTACTACAACCTTCCCTTCCAGGGCGGGCGAGGAGCCTATGGAGCCACCTCTCCCCTGCGGGAGTTAAGCGTCCCTGCGCATACACAGAAGGTGGCAGTCCGGTTCAGGCAGCTGGACACCGCACGCGTATGTCTACAGGTGAGAGAAAGGGGGGAAAGGCAGGGTGGGGAAGGGAACGATCCTCTGACCGGCGAGAAACACTGCTGCCGTGATACACAGGCACGCACTGAATACATACGCAGTGAAACATTGCGCAGAACAGCGACCGTTTCGGAGGCAGGTACGGAGCAGAGCTGCAGGCACGCTTGCCGTCAGGTTCTTCAGAGCGATCTGAGCCTCAGAGACTTCATGCATTCGTTTGGCTTCACATCTGCTTACCGGTCTTTGAAAGCAACCCAGCCCCTTAGGGTGCACCTGAACCACACAGCGGGGCATGGTGCGGAGGTGCCTGTGCTAACACCGCCTGGAAGAAGTGCGGCTCCTGAATGAGTTCACTGCGCTGACGGAGAAGTCGTTAATTTGCAGCTCCCTGCCACGTTAACGAGGCTCTGCTGCTCCTGGGCCTGAGCTAGGAATTTGGCTTGGCACAAGGCCCCACGGGCATCCTTGGCTGCTCAGCTCTGGTCCAAGACACCTACACGTTGTGTAGCAGAGGTATACCTGGAGTCATACTGGCTTGGGTTTTTAATTGCGTTTGTGGCCATTTTTTTTACCTTCCCTGCTCATATAGTTTTATTTGTTCAGTATTTACAGTCGCATTCAGTATCACTAAAAGGAATGTCTACTTTGTGACTATAGAATAACTAAATCTAGAATTAGCTCTCAGCTTCCTTTCACTTTATCTTCGCTATATTTTCTTCCTTGTAAACCCTCCTGACTGCAATCACTGTGTAGACTTTTCTGCCAGTCCTTCCTCATGCTAGTTGCTAAAAAGTCATTTGTAATTAAAATATACACACAAACACACACACAGGTACTAGCACAGAGTCTTCACGCTGGTGCCCTAAAGACTGAAGAAAGGAAGGGAGTTTGTATGCCTTAGTTTCAGGATATCTGCCGAGTCAGGGAGCAGGGAAAAAAGACAACATCACAAAATGGAGCAAATATAATATATTGTAGGAGTACTAGAATAAGTATTTATGTTTTAAACTACTAAAGTCTCAGCGTGCCTATTATCCCCTAGGAGGGCAAACACTGCTCAGAACAGCTCTGCTTCTCCCCAACAGAAATTGTTCAAAAAGCAAGCAATACGTAGCTAGCCAAAGGACGCCACATCAGACAAATTCTAGGCATGGAAGACTTGTTTTTGTCTTTGTGCATGTTAAATTATGCAACTTCTTAGAAGGAACATGACCACATTAACTTCAGAGAAGATTTCCCAACATCCCAGAGCCAAGTACCTTAAAGCCATAGGGATTTTTTCCTTTTTTTGTTGTTGGTGGTGGTTGTTGGTTTTTTTTTGCCTGTGGGTTACCACTTTTTGTTTTTGCTTTTAAAGTAACCACAGAAAAAAATTCCACATGCACACCAAAAGAGCTCAACCAACCACAACTTTTCTAGTTACAAGATAATAGCACCTTTGGCAACAAATACTACTTCAGCTCAGCCACTGTCGCAGAACGTCCATCTCTGGCAGGTTTGGCAGGGAAGGTCTCAAACAAATTTAGTCAGCTTTCCACCTTCTTAAGCTTTGTGCATAAATTCCAGCATGTGTTGCCCAAATATGATGTGCTTTACCACATCCTCTTACTCTTTACTCTTAGTGAAACAGCAGAATCAAACCACCTTCACTTTGCACTGAGAAACTTGCCCTGTTAGTACATAAGACAACATGCAAGATTTCAATAGCGGTAAAATGCCACTTGTACAGATCTACAAGGTATTAAAAGCAAATAGGCTGCTAAAAGCAAAACTTCTGACTACAGGATCCGTCTAACAATATACTCCTTGAAAGTAGAATTGGATACTGCTCAGCCCATCTGCTGAGCAGTAGACATTAATGAAGAGCTCCTGTGGTGTGGATAAACTGCAGGGCTTAACGTCTCTTGCAAGGCTCCATTTCAAGTATTTTGTTTCAGTCACTGCAGTTTACCAGTTCCATTCCAAATTCACTTTTGCGCTAACAATGAAGAGTGCAGGTGACTGGTGCAAATCAGCTTTTGCTTGGGGTAGTTCAAGAATGCAACTAACGATTGTAGGGGCTTGCAGAAAGTGGGCAAAATATTCAAATTAAATGTAGAGGATACAAGCGTTGCATTTTTTAATTATTTTTACAACTTAGTTTTGCATGCAGGTATTTCCCTATCGTGCCTCCTGTGCATATGTTAAGTTTCAGGGGGTTTGTATTATTTTATTTCACTTTCAATTTCCCTGCAAGGCAGCTGGAAAGACTCAAGGTAAAGGACACAGATATTCATTTGATTTTTTCCCCAGTTTATGAATTAAGTTGTGTAGTTGTAGAGTCCCAATCTATTTCTCAACTAAGTATGGTTAAAGGGGGAACATAATTTCTTCACCTCTGGCTTCCCAGAGTCATTTCCCAGCATCTGAGTCTCCCACGTTATACAGTGCCATGTGCTTAATTTCCGACCCAACCCTTTTTTTGTAAAGGCAAACGACCTTTTAGCTCTTTTCTCAGCAGCCTTGCCAAAATGAGGTCAGTCATCACCACAGTTACAGTGTTATTTGAGCTACAGCCAACAGAGTCTTGCTATCACATCTGAGAAAAGCGGATTATTTTATTATTACTTCAAGAACAAGAAGTGCATCCAGAACTCCCTACACTTCCCTTGCTGAGGCAGCCCAATTCACACATGGTTTGTTATTTAAAAAGAGTAAGGTTTTTCAGGTTTTATAGGGAGCTGCTGAATTTCATGCTCTGCATCCTTGAGCGTATGTAAACTGACTACAGTCTACATTTGCAGAACCAGCTTGTTTTAGCTGTCTGGCTTTGGAAAAGCTGGAATTGTCTTTTTCTTTCCCATTGCAACATATAACCAACATGCAGACAACATGGACACAAACCCAAACCGCACTGTCTTGAAAATCTCTGTTTCATTCTAGTAGTTATGAACTCTGTTACCTCCTAAAAGGTGACAGCTCCCTTTTACTGAAATGCACGTTGCTATCCAGAGAAGAGAATCTCAGGTAGCTGTGATGAAGGAAAATTCAGGGCATAGGCATTTTTCCTCCTTTAAACAAAAAAGTAGAAGGAGATTCTCAGCCTTATCTTCATGTCCCATCCCTAATCCCCCTCACCCCAACATACACATTCAGGACTTCCAAAGGGGAAGGGTGGCAGAAAGACGTCCAGAGGCATTTGTGAACTCAAAGGGACGATCAGAGATGGTGATGGGGAGCACAGCTGCTTTTTCTGCTCTACCACATACCCACTAAGGGCCATGCCGTGGTTAATTCACACCTGCACACTCCTTGCGCCCTCACTCACACTAATGCTTCCATCTACTCAGGCTGCGAGCTGGGTTTTGCTTGCGGCTGGCACAATCACAATTAGTTAGTGGAGTTGCAGTCAGCTGCCTGGGGCAGCTCCGAGTTTGGCACAGGCTGGTCAGACACACACTAACTGCTGTCTACCCCAAGTTCTGCACTGCCAAAAAAACATACATGCTACCCATGCTGTGCTGCGTGTCTTGTATGTTCGCAGTCCTCTGCTGGGAGTAAAATAAAACCAAGTTACTTTGATGCTAACAAGTTTCCCTGAAAAAGTCACTTCTGCAAGACCATCTGGGAAATAGCTGTGCCAAGCCAAAGAACAAGAGGCCAACGTTTCATCTCTGATTAAAACTTATGCAAGTCTCCATACTATAACACTTATACTACTAACTATTCCCCCATTTCTTTCCTCCTTCCACAGAGAAAAAGCAGAGGAGAGTGTTTTTGTTTGCACTAGAACATTGTTGTCCACCCAGTAAGTATATTCCGGGGGACTCAACTCCACAAAAAGCTCTTAGGCCCATAGTCAGGGTCTACTAAGGCCAAGGAGGGAGGCAGTGTCTTGCTGAGCACAGATTGACTTTACTGCACCAGGATCTGGCTTCACCGCAGCATGGATGAAGCCTCAATATTCTCAAACCAAAAGCAAAGCAGTCTAATTAAACAACTGACGGAGTTGTCAGTTTAGCAGGTCTGGCTGAGAGACTCTTGAAGCTCTTCATGGGAAACAATCTTCTATCCTAAAAGGTTGTCCTTCGCTCAGCCTCCATACAGTTCATTTGAGTACCTTAGTACAGCTGCAAGCTTCATGGTGGTCATGGTATGAAATCACCATACTGATTTACATATGTCTTCTGAATACTGCTTTTGCAGCTGTATTTGAACATCTTGATCTAGATGTAACATGACAAGCACAACCTGACATAATTCTGTGCGACCCTGCTGGCTTGAAAGGGTTGGCAGCATATCTTTAGCTCACCCCAAATTCATATTTGTCCCATGCTTCAGAAGGGAGAGACTGAATTAGGACAGGATAGCCTTGATTAAAATTCAGTTTTGGCGTCTTGGTTCCCATTTTCCTTGACTTCTCTTTGTGTTGAGAGAGGCATAAGTCAGTTTCTACTCAGAAGTTCCTTGCGTCAAGGGTCATCTCCAGTGGTCATAAAAGTGCTCTTTTGGCTCCAACCTTCCTTGCATTTTTAGCCTGTGTTACAGGAGATTTTGGCAGAGGGAAGCAGCTCTAAGAAACAGGGCACAGCTGAAGTAATGCAACTCATGGCTGACACCAACAGCAGCTCACTAGCAGCCAAGTGCAGGTCAGAGACGCTGCTAACTCACCTTTTTTAGATCAGGAAAAACATTTCCTCTCGGGTAGACCTAGAGTCTGGGTGGTTGCAAGGCTTTGCAAAGCTAATTCTCAGACATTTTACCTGCCCTAACCTATAATTTAGGAACATGGGTTGCTTCAGCCCTAAAAGCTCTAGAGTTGCTCTAAACAGTTCACTGCCCTCCTCCAGCTGCCACCTTGACTTCTTCTCCCCAATAACTGTTTACAGCTTGAATGAAGGATTATGACAGACCAGTATGTAGTGCTATTAAGTTCAGTCTAAGTAAACAGTCATTGAAATGCCAAGGTCAGCTCTGAGGTCATCAAAATCTGAGGCACTGTAAGAAATGTAAATAATGAGGCTCTTCAAATCCCATCTGGAAGTAGGACAGGGGTGTAAGGGCTTTGAACTGCAGACTTCAGATTGGCATGTTAACATCTAGAGAAGATTTCTGTGAGTATTTAGTAGAAGTGCTTCAAAATTAGCCCATCTGAAGTTTACAGGATTTGATTACTTCCTCTGTACTTCATTGTATTAAACTCATTTACTGACAACTGTTAAACAAAGTGCAAGGTAAAGCTCAGAGCGCAATAACAATCACACCTAATAATTGCTAGTTAATCGTTTACAAACATGTCAGCAACGGGGGGGGGGGAAGAGATTGTTCCATAACATAACCCACAGACAACGGACATTTGTGTTTACAGGAAGGGCAGCCATAGCTTTTAACACATTTTAGAAGCATGCTAAAAATCCAAACAACATATTTCATTTGCTAGCAATATAATCTGTCCTCAAGACAGATGGCGGCAGCAAATGAACCCAGTCCAATGCCATACCTAATCAATTAGCACTTTGTACTTTCAAATTGTCTGAGGATGTCACATCCTTGCTCTCGTGAAAGCAAGGTTTGTAGTATGTTGCACAGTAAACACCTTTAAACACTTTCTCCTCTCCCCACTTCTTTTCCCAGCCAAAATAACAAGATGCAGTTTGGGTAAGCAGAAGGTGATGTCCCCATTCCTGTCACTGGAGACTGATCAACTTCAGTTCTCGTTGCGTGTGCCAACTCTTTCTGTAAGTAAGCAAATCAAAATGGGAGAATTCCATCCTTCCAAATAAGAATTTCTGTAAAATTTGGACTTTTGAGTGCAGTCACTTCCATTAGGCCCCAAGTCTTCTCTTTCATTGCCACAAATGCTCAGAACCTCAGTTTTGGCCTCATCCAAAAGGTTTTCACAGAACATCTCTGGCAGGAGAGAATGTGGATTGTGGCAGTCAAGCTGTGGGGAAGAGGGATGGCTCAGGGAGCCCTACATCTCTTGCCAGGAGCCGTATGAATACTTAGTTAGCTACTACATCTGTTAAGACCAAAACTGAGAGGTATTTCATAATGACCAAAAATTCTCCTAGCTGTGTCTTTGTTAACCTCTCCCTAGAAGTATCCACTTCCCTAAATGTAATAACAAAACAGAAAGGCATGTGTTCACTCCAGCAGTAACAGCTGTACGTTGAACAGCGTTGTCTTTTAGGAAGATTTGTCTGTATCACAAAAACACTTATAAGTACTTCCAGATGTGTAAGTCTGGACCTTTCAACCTTTCAATCCTATCAAAGTATCCACAGCATGCTACGCATTACCAAAGACACTAGCCAAATATGGACCTGCTTCTGTAATCCATCCTCAGCACTTGTACGAATACCACTTCAAAGGATTTGGCCCATGATTTTAAATGAAATTTCTGCAAGGACTGAATAAGGAAACTAGTCCTTTTTTACAGGAGTGTCAGGATTGTCTAATAAGAGAAACCTGAAGACAAACTCAGAGATCTCTCACATATGCACAAACATGTATAAAACCTTCACCTGGTATTCCACACGTCTTGCACTGAATTAAAGAAAGCAGGGCTATTCATCAGTGTTTACAGTCCTCAGAAAGCATACAATAAACAGAGACAAAATCTTAGATTTCAAGTCATCTGATTTGGGTAAAACATGCACCTCAAAACATCACTAAAGCAGAGACTGCCAGAGGGGTCTGACAGTGCACAACTTTTAAACATATCGCAACTATGATGCCCAGAATTTTTTAAGTCATGGCTCTAGGACATATGGACAGAGAAATATTTGAGAAGACTGGGCCTGAAACTACACAATTATAACTGGTCGCTCAGTTTTGGGTGGGCTCGCAAATTATATTGGTTGGTTGGCTGACATTCTTGGAGAGGATGCCTGAGGGTGCAGAGTCATGAGGGGATGTAAATCAGAGGAGAGTTCCAGTCGTGCACATCTTGTTTTTTGGTATTGCTGGAACACTACTGCACATCTTTGTACCCTTTATATTCTAAGCCACATCATATGCCCAACTAGCAGTTTGCTGCCAAACAATACACCTACTGAACAGTATCCAAAATCAGTGTCACAGAGCTTTTAATCATTGTAATACTCCAGCCTACAGATTCCTAGATTTCCAAAGAAAAGTAATTATTGAGGTGATGCAAAGGACTCATCGCTTTGTGCGTAACTCCAATCAAGAGCCTGAAGGGCACCAAAACAGACGTGCCACTGGAGCCTGCTACTACGCACAACTGGCATCTTTGTTACACCGCTGGAGGCGCTGAGCCTGCTGCTTCCACTGCCAGAGCTACGAGATCGCTACCGGTGGAGCTTCAGCCTGTTCAGCCATTACAGAGGTGCTACTGGGCCTGGATCAGACAAGAGGAAAAAACCCTGCTGTGAGAGCTGCCATCAGAAGGTACTTCACAGGCTGTTAGCCAAGGGCAGGGGAAGAATTAAGTGTTCAAGGGAGATTAAGCAGGGCCCCTCCCACACACACAAGGGCTGCTCCAGCCAGAGGACAGTTGAGTCTTCAAGAAAATAAGTAAAACTAAATGTTGCTGCTCCAGAAGGGCAAGGACTGAAGTCACCCCTACTACGAGGCAGCAAGGGGGAGCAGGAAGGACTGCGAAGGGGTAAGACAAAGACTGTGGAGAAGCTGCCTTTCTTCCTTCACGCTCTCCTCAAAGAGTAGCTGCCAACCCTTCTACCTTGCGGGCTACTGTTTCCTAGGACTCTTGCTGCTCCTTGCAGACTTGTGCCCTAGGCAACTGCCTACTTCACCTGAAGGAGACCCTTCTGTTTGTTGGCAAAATTGGGAGCTCAGTACAGAGTCCCATTGTGCAGGACTGAATCCCCACAGGATTTGAGATGATTTTGCTTTTGATCAATTCATTAATTTCAAGATGTTGGACCGTACCTATCATTCCTATATACTGAGCCTGAAAATCTGACCGGATCACAAGGCTCACTTTCTCCCATAGGAGGGTGAGGCTTAGAGGCCAAATTGTAGGTCAGTGCCACGCACTGCCAAAATTGCAAGCCTTATTTGGGCTGAGCATTTCACACCCTCAACTTCCAGTTTGGGGCCGACTGGAAATATTCTGTAAATCTAAGTTTACCTAAATTTTCACGGGGGGTTTCCCATAATCAAAGTGTAGAACCACAGAGAGGTCAGGCTGATCTTTCACAGTATGAAAGCTTGTGGTTTTGCACAAGATGCTCCTCTTTTTCAAGTCACTACTCACCACTGTGCTTAACACAGCATATCCATCTTAATGTTCTGTTCAGCATCTCTGATAATGAGAGGGGTTAAATTTGGTGAACTACTAATTACAAAAAAAAGATGGCAGCAGCTACCCATTCACTGCCCTGCTAGCATAGATTGAGCCTGGCTACTTAGCTAGCAAGCTGACTTTGTAGCAGAATTGTACAAAGTCAGTCCAGTGACTCATATTGCTAAGGCACTGTGTGCCCAGGGTCATATCTAAAGTGTTCACCACAACACCTAACATGACTCTATCATCCACTCCCAAGGGATCATCAGATGCTATTATAATACAAGACATCTTGGTAGCATTCATAGACTTGACACCATCTAGTTGCTTTCAGATATTATTTCTCTAGCTTGCTTTCAGCTATAGCCTTCTTTCAGCTGCCGAGTGTTTAATACCACAGAACAATTGGTGAAAGGATTATAGCACCACAACTAAAGTAAGCTCCCCTTGGGGAAATGGGACAGTTTGCTAACAGAACTCCATAATCACTGAACTATATCACCTTAGAAGAGCAAACTAAAGAGCAATTGAAAACCTCTCTCTTTCTTACAGCAACTTTTAGGACTTGGATCTCCCACACAGTTCTTCTAAACTATAATCTATTGGTATATAGGGTTGTTGTCTTCTATTTATCAAGTTCAAAAGCTGTCTTATCTTTACGTTTCTGTTTTTTCACAGCCTAGAAAGTAGTAGCCAGTCTTTTGAAGATATGATTAATTGGTTACAACCTGGTTTCTTAAGAGAAATGAGGCTTATGTGATCAAGCGAAGCAGCGGTCCAACTCTTCCCTCCTCTTCTCAGCATCCTTCATAGCCATTAGACAGGTCTTTCAAAAATTAAGAGAAAGAGCAGATGATAAAATTCTGTTAGTACCTTCCTTGGGGCTAGAGAAAACCAAAACAACCCCATCAAGTTAGCTCTTCTAAGAGTCCAGAGAATTTCTATTGGAGAGAGGTATCACACGAGCTTTAACAGCAAAATGAGACATCAGAGAATCCATATGAGAATTTGAGATCCTGTCTCATGCACTTCTATGTAGTTTTCCTGTAGCAGTTATGGAATAACAATTTGTCTTCCCTCACCGCAGTCATTCTGTTTGGGAAGACAACGTCCAATGCAAAGCATTTTCAACCTGACTGCTAGTAATTCTATGTTCTTAGGGCATGCTTTGCAATATAACCTGTACTCCGTTTTAGTAACATCATTTGAACTTCCTCATCTATTGTCATAGTTGTCTCCTACCTTGTCTTTAAGATGAAGATGAGAGCTACAGCTCTTGCCCAAATAAGAAGTGCCCTGCTGGATTAGACAAGTCTAGCCTAGTGCTTCATCTCTGGCAGTAACAATAGGAAACACTAGGGATAGCATGGATATCAAATTAGCCTTCCCTTCTACTTTTCCAGCATGCACAATTGACGTCATCCCGTACAAAGTAGTTTTACTGCATATAGGTGCTAATTAGAAGCAAAGCCACTAGAAGGGCACAAACATTGAAAAAAATAAAATAAAATAAAATAAAAAGGCATAAATGCATCTGCTAGCTTAAAGGGCCAGAAATGTAAAGGGTACTACATGTGTAAATGTGGTAGGGTAGGATAAATGGGCCTGTACTTCAGAATCATACCCTATATCTCCACCTCGGACCTTTCCTGGAACCAGACTGCCTCTAAAGACTAGCCCAGATCATCCTTCTATCTTCCTCAGCAACACCTTGTCCACTCCTGGAGCTCTTTGCCCCACTACACAGTCTTAACTTTTCATCATATGGCTAAATCACACCACCATCTCAGGCATTTCAGTCACTCCCTGCCACTGGGGAGAGGAGGAGCAGCAAGGTCAAGCCCAGCAGTTGAACAGTGGTTTCTCCAGAGTTTCCTAGACATGAGACTGTGGCTCCTGCTGGGTTATGCCTCTAACAGCTCCAAGCTTGTCTGAGACAACATCATTGCCTCAAAGCAGACCAGGAGCTCTTACTTCGAAACTGAAATTTGAGCTGACAGAGAAGCTGAGCTCAAAAACCTTAAGCTTGCTTTCTTACTGCCTCAGCTGTGATAGGGCTTTTAGAATTAGTTACTATTGAGAAGTACGTGAAATCTAACCCATTATTCATTCAAAACATGTTAGTATAGAAGTCAGCGGCCAGATGTTCCAAGGAGCAGGATCCTAAAGAAAAAAAAGTGACTAACGGTGCCATGTGAAAATAAAGACTTGTGAGGTTGCCAGTGCCATTCTGTAATGGGAAAATTAAGTCACCGAAGGATGTTGCAGTAGGAAATGTGACAGCACAGAAAACTGTGGCTTCTGTCTCACCCTATTTCTTTGCTTTCTCCAGATGAAGAAGAGAAGAAGAGACCCTTCTATTACAAAGTAGTTCACCAACTTTTTTTTTTTTTTGGGCATCCCCATGCAAGCAGGACTGAGGGAGGGTCATCTTCTATATTAGAAGGGCAGCACTCCAGCCAA